AAAATTGCCCTTGTTGCAAGCGTTAAAATTATACAAACATAATAAATTATTACCAAAATAGTTTCAATAAGGCGTACACACTCGTGCTTATATATGTATTTATTTTAAGCGTGCATAATTTAAATCACTTGCCCACATGACAGGGACAATTTAGTTAAATATGCACATACCTAAAAAGAGTTTCAATAAAGTCCACAATATTAATAGCGCAGTCGATAAAGAAGCAAGGGCGACACAATCATAGCTGTTAGACGTTTTGTAGACCTACAAAAAACAAATATTTAAATGCGATAAAATAAGCACATACATACATACATATATACGTACCCACCCAACAAAATCATCGTAAACGAGCTCGTAACTGGATATTTTCTTGAAGAGAAACTGGATGAAAAGTCGTGGATAAAAAGTTCGTAAAATGTATGTTTTCTTGCTGGCTGGGTATGTACGAAGTATCAAAGTTTTATGAACATTCGAAAATATTTCTAAGGTGTAAATAAACACCATTGGATATAAATGCGCGTGGATGTGTTTGTTTTGATTGATGGTAGTGACCACAAATGATGGAGCTTTCAACTGAATTTGCTCAGACAACAACTCCAATTGTGATACGGAAATACGCATCTGCAATCAAAATAGAAATTTACGTACATATCATTAAGTTCATCAAATATTTAAGCTATAGTCTCACCTGTTTGAAATCCCAAGAACCAACAAGCATTGCCACGGATTTTAATTCCGGTTGACATTTTCAGGCCCGATCCTTAGAGTGGGGATAATGTCGGTGTGCTGATGAATTTCTCACCTTTGCTGTGACTAACCGACACAATCAACGGTGGCGTTGCTACCTCGCCAGCAGGTGATGAAACAATGTTCAACACGTCACCGAGGCAGACAACAGCATGAGTTTACTCACTTCATACAAACAGTGAGATTCATAGTTAGTTTTGAAATCAATGTTTAGCTGCAGTGTACTCATTTGATTTCAAATATGGCATTGATATACTCTTTCCAAATCAAGTCAAGCGAGTGAAAAATGCTGTTATGAAAAGTAAGTCGAGCAATCGAATGACACCCATTGACTTCAAACAATTAGTAGAGAATACGACAATTTTGAAAAAAATGGATATTTTTTTTAATATATTTTATTTTTTTTAATATTTTTTAGTATTTTTTTAATATATTAGTTTTACTAAATTATTTAAGAAGAAATGCAATGTTACCTCAGAAGACATCGGCTTTATAAGGGACTTGAAAAATAAGTTGCTTTATTATTTAAAAACAGTTGCTGTTGAAAACTAACAGATTTGCACAAAATTGTGCTTTTTTATACCCGCCAGCAAAAGAGCTCATGAACTTTACCGAATCTGAGCAAAGGTACACAAAAGAGAAATGTTTACAAATTATGAGAACGTTAACTGAGAATTCTGACAGTACAACGGAACCACAAATGGTAAACCTTTGTTACCTTCAGACAACTTTGAGCTGTTTTCAGGTCTTCTTAAACAACCTACCTTTGTGAGCAGAACTGATAAAGCTACTGCAGAGCTGCGGCGATATGAAAATATTGAGGTATATTTTCATACGGACTTCGATATAATTAATTGGTGGGAGGTACACAAATGCGAAATGCCGCTGCTGCATAGACTCAGTCGAAGAGTAATAGCCACTCCTTCAACTAGCGCATCATCAGAAAGAGTTTTTTCTTCTGCTGGAAATGTTATTTCTGACAAAAGATGCCACCTTTTGTCAAATGATGATGCCTTAATAAAAGATTGGCGCTTACACATATGTTAGTGTTTGGCCGAGCTTCTACTCCGATTTGTGGCGTGCGCCTTGATCTTGTCACACAAAGCGGAGGGACATACAGTTTTACGCCGACTCCGAACGGCGATTGTATTTTTATAAGAAGCTGTTTTTCATGGCAGAAATACACTCGGAGGTTTGCCATTGCCTGCCGAGGGACGACCGCTGTTAAGAAAAAACCTTTTTTCTATATTTTTGCGTTGTTGCTTTGACCAGGGTTTGAACCCAGGCATTGTGGAGTGGAAGCGCGCACTGCTTACCACTACACCACAGCGGCCCTTAATCAGTTGATATTTTTGCATTATAATATGCAGATTCTTCAACATCTCGCTCATCTGCGCCCATGCCCCGACGGAAGAGAAGGATGAGGCATCCAAGGATCTCTTCTATGAGCGCTCGGAGCGCACATACGAGCGCTGCCCCGTCATGATATCAAAATCGTGCTTGGCGACTTCAATGCCAGGGCGGGCAAGGAAGGGATCTTTGGAACCACCGTCGGAAAATTCAGCCCCCACGACGAAACGTCCGACAACGGATTGAGGCTGATCGACTTCGCCGGGGCCCGAAGCATGGTAGTATGCAGTACTAGGTTCAAGCATAAAAAGATCCATCAAGCTACGTGGCTGTCTCCGGATCGAAAAACGAGAAACCAAATCGATCATGTTGTGATAGACGGAGGGCACGCTTCCATTGTTTTAGACGTACGCAAACTCCGAGGCCCAAACATCGACTCGGACCACTCTCTTCTTGCAGCCAAGATACGCACCCACCTCTGTGCAGCAAAAAATGTGCGCCCAAATATGCAAGGAAAGCTTAACGTCGAAAAGCTGCAATCACAACAGACAGCCAGCGCTTTCGCTACTCGACTCTCACACCTGCTCTCAGAGAGCACTCTTCAACAAACCGACATATGCGAGCAGTGGAACCACATTTCCCGCTCATTAAGTTCGGCCGCCGAAGAAGTAGTCGGATTTCAGCGAGCCCGAAAGGATAACTGGTACGATGAGGAGTGTCAGGAAGCTGCAGAAAAAAAGATGCCGCCTACAGGGCCACGCTGCAATCGGGCGCAACGCGCGCTATGTGGGACCGCTATAGGGATCTGAAGACGGAACGGAGACGTATTTGCCGCAATAAGAAGAGAAAGGCCGAAATACGTGAGTGCGGAGAGCTTGAAATGCTGGCCAACAGGAAGAATGCCCGAAAATTTTACCAGAGAGTTAGGCGACTTACGGAAGGTTTAAAGACCGGGGCGTACTCCTGTAAGAACAATAATGGCGACCTAGTAACTGATGTCCAGAGCGTACTTAAATTATGGAGGGAACACTTTTCCGCCCTACTAAATGGAAGCAGCACGGAAAGTTGTGGAGAAGAAGAACCCGAGCCCGCAGTCGATGATGACGGAGTCAACGTTCCACCGCCTGACTATGACGAGGTACGTATAGCAATAACGCGGCTGAAAAACAACAAAGCTGCTGGAGCTGACAGCCTGCCAGCTGAGCTATTCAAGTACGGCGGCGAGGAGTTGATAAGGTGCATGCATCAACTCTTGTGCAGAATATGGTCAGATGAACGCATGCCCTACGACTGGAATTTAAGTGTGCTGTGCCCAATCCACAAGAAAGGTGACCCCGCCATTCGCGCCAACTACCGCGGGATCAGCCTTCTAGGCATAGGTTACAGGGTCTTATCGAGCGTACTGTGTGAAAGACTTAAGCCCACCGTCAATGAACTGATTGGGCCTTATCAGTGTGGCTTTAGACCTGGAAAATCCACCATAGACCAGGTATTCACAATACGCCAAATCTTGGAAAAGACCCGCGAGAAAAGGATCGACACTCACCACCTATTTGTCGACTTTAAAGCCGCCTTTGACAGCACTAAAAGGAGTTGCCTATACGCCGCTATGTCTGAATTTGGCATCCCCTCAAAACTTATACGGCTGTGTAAAATTACGTTGAGCAATACCACCAGCTCCGTCAGAATTGGGAAAGACCTCTCCGAGCCGTTCGCCACAAAACGGGGTTTCAGACAGGGCGACTCCCTTTCATGTGACTTCTTTAATCTGATGTTGGAGAAGATAATAAGAGCTGCGGAACTGAACCGCTCAGGAACAATTTACTACAAGAGCGTGCAATTGCTGGCTAATGCCGATGTCATCGACATCATCGGTAACAAAAACCGCGAAGTCTGTTCTGCCTTTTCCAAGTTGGATAGGGAAGCAAAGCGAATGGGTCTGGTGGTAAACGAGGACAAGACGAAGTATCTCCTGTCATCAAACAAACAGTCAGCACATTCACGCCTTGGCACCCACGTCACTGTTGACAGTTACAATTTCGCGAAAGTAGAGAATTTCGTTTACTTGGGAACCAGCATTAACACCGATAATAATGTCAGCATTGAAATCCAACGCAGAATCACTCTTGCCAACAAGTGCTACTTTGGACTGAGTGGGCAATTCAGGAGTAAAGTCCTCTCTCGACATACGAAAACCACGCTCTATAAGTCACTCATCATGCCCGTGCTGGTATATTGCGCAGAAGCATGGACAATGACAACATCCGATGAGGCGGCTCTTGGAGTGTTTGAGAGAAAGATTTTGCGGAAGATTTACGGGCCTTTACGCGTTGGCGACGGCGATTACCGCAGACGATGGAACGATGAGCTGTATGAGCTTTACAACGATATGGACATAGTGCAGCGAATTAAAATACAGCGGCTCCGCTGGCTTGGTCATGTCGTTTGAATGGACACCAACGCTCCAGCTCTGAAAGTATTCAACTCGGAACCCGCTGGTGGTAGCAGAGGAAGAGGGAGGCCCCCACTGCGATGGAAAGATCAGGTGGAGAAGGACTTGGCTTCACTTGGCGTTTCCAATTGGCGTCAGTTGGCACAGAGGAGAAACGACTGGCGTGCTTTGCTGAACTCGGCAAAAAACGCTTAGGCGGTTACAGCGCCAAAAAAGAAGAAGAAGAAGAATATGCAGTTAGGAAACCAATAAAATTAACAAAAATTGTCTTTACAAATGTTGTTTCTTTGACACTTTCATTACAGCAGTTATGCCATGCACTTGTTTTTCAAATCAAGCACTTGTTATTTGAATAGAGCACTTGATAGTGTGAATTACTCACTCAACCGACAATGTTTTTTCAATGCTATCGCACGTTATGTTTGGAAATAACTGAGTGCGAGTGTGTGCAGATGTGAAAAGAAAGCGAGTGACTTAAAATGTAATTTGAGTGTATCCATGCAGCTCTCTGGACCGAGGGAACGTGCCTTTAAGATGTAAGTTTACAGGTACGTTGCAAATATGCAGTAGGCGTTGCGATAGCTGGTTCATTGACGCAGTGAAATCTGGAAATAGATTAGGCTGCAATTTAGTTTGGCATCCCCGGAGTTCCGCATTAAGGTAGCTATGGAACGGTAGAGGGAGTTCTCATGATTGCAAATATATATACTTTTAGCCGCAGCAGGGTTATAGTTTTTAAGTTATTTGTTGTTAAAGTTTGTAAATTGAACTAACCTCTCGGCGCTATTTCACACAAAAAACACTTTATTTATGTACACACTTCGGCAAAATAGTTGCATTAAAACCCCGGCCTGAGATTTCCACTTTAATATACAATTCTTAATTAATTAATTAAGTAAAACGCGTTTATAAATGTCTTCACAAACGTTTGCACATTTCATAAGCAAGCAGAAATAACAATGGCTGACAGTAACACAAAATGTATGCTACCATACGTTAAAAAAATACACAAATAAGTGCGTATAATTAGGGAGTATAAGGGCCAGTTACTCAATGTCTGGTTAACACTAATCTGCGGTTAAACATCGTTACCGACTTCTTCGACTCCATGCATATAACAGGGAGTCGGTAACGTCGATAACGATGTTTAACCGCAGATTAGTGTTAACCAGACATTGAGTAACCGGCCCTAAGTGTACAATACGTACATACATTGCTCTTATTAAAAATAATAATATTAGGATCGATAGGGGTCTTACTCCTGATCATAACGGTATAATTTTTTTCGGGTGGAAATAATATGTATTGGTTACAATAACACCAAAGTATACAAAAGTAGAAAACGTACATCGATAATTTGATAAATAATGAAAATTTCATTATTTATCGAAGTATTGATTTTTATGGGAAAAGCGCCGCAGGCGAAAATTTGTAATAAAAAATCGCGCGATTTTTTATTAAAAATTTTCATTATTTATCAAAGTATTGATTTTTATGGAAAAAGCGCCGCAGGCGA